ATCTAACTTTGCTTCGCATTTTCTTAGGCTAGCCTTAACTGCTTCTCTGTCCACCTTGTCTCGGCTGATTTATTTAATAGAACTACCTTAATCCGAGCAAGAAGCTGATTTAGGCTGAGCTGGATAACGTGGGTAAGATATAGTATTCGGGTGATAATAGTATCATCTAACAAAGCCTATTGGAGAGCAGTAGCTAATATCTTGTTGTTTGATACATTATCTGTTGTTAACCCGAATACTTTATCTTCAATATTGTACTCCACTAGGGTTTCTATAAGAACACTACTTAGGTAAGAGCCGGTATATATACTATAAAGCGGCTTAAACCTAAGTAGTACCTCACGATATACCCAATCACTGTCAATGAAATAGCCAGTAATAGCCATAAATACCTGCGAGAATGGAGATATCCAGCAGTCAAGCGCAATAGATATCTTTGAGCCAGAAGGCAGCGTACGAAGGATACGCTGCTACCGGTCTTTGACTAGACTACCCAATCGGCGACGGATAGTATCGGCAGATAGGATCACTGGAGGGGATAGGGCGGAACGAGCTTTATTGATAATGCGTTTGAATAATAGATGCTCGATCAGATAGAATAGGAGCCGGTTGAGAGTAAGAAATTGGAGGAGATCCTCCTCCCAATCTTCTTATAAGAAGGGTATACTTACTGAAACCTCTCCCTAGAATAATAATAAATTAGTATAGTTACTTAGTTTTATGATATAAAATATACCTCTCTTTGTAGGAAGTTTGTAATCTCTGCTTTCTTCCCCTTTTCCGACCGTAAACAACCAGCCGTTTTCCGATGTTTCTGGATAGTTGATGTGCTATGATACTGCGCTTTGCCTATACTGTTCGGGCTTAGTGTATAAGGATACTCTAGGATCTTCCCACAGCGCTTGCACATAACCTTTGGTGCGCTATCAATACCCTGAGCTACCTGATAGTAGCTATTCCAGATCTCTATATAGCGGTTCGAATCCCATTTAAGCTTACTTTTCCTCCCGTAGTCAGTCTCTAACCACCAGTCCACAAAATCGTTATATAACATTGTATCGTATAGAATAAACCCTTTCCTACGGTCGGGTCCAACGCGTTTCAATAAAGGGGGGATTAGGAGGGGATCATCTGGTCTTCGGAAGTTTGAGTCGATTGCGTGTTGACTTACGGATAGTGTGACTTGTCCAGTTGAAATATATAAGAGATCTTCAAGATCACCACCATAGAGCGACGATGCAAAGTCGGAAAGTTGGCTTTGAGACATAACATAAGAATAACATATAATATATACAAAGGGATGTAAGGGGAGAAATTCTTTAACGTACAAAGGAAGAAATACACTAAAGTTGTAGAAGTGTCTAGGAATATTGATATATCAAATATAGTAAATCATCCTACTCTTGTTGATTGGTCTATTATACTAAAATTATATAGGTCTAAAGAAATACCCCTGAGATAACCCAGTCAAGACCCAGTCATAACCCATTTAACCCAGTAAGAACCCAGTAAGAACCTATTTAACCCGGTAAGAACCCAGTAAACCCAGTAAAACCCCAGTCAAACCCCAATTCCCACCCCAGTTCCATTAATCCTTCTCAAAATATTTCTTCCTACCCTCCCTTCAAGTCGCATATACCAAGTAGATTAAGAGGTAGTAAGTAGTTTTGAATGTAAAGGTTTACTAGATATCTATCTATAGTTATATAAGCTCTAAAATTAAACAGAAGAAGAGAAATAAATGAATTCAAAAATTATTTTACTCTATAGATAAAAATATATATTATATTGATATATATTGAATATATATATCTACAACTTGGGGTATACTTTGTATTTTAAATAGAATGCTATCGTACGCTTGAGAAAACCAGCAGCCAACACATACCACCTTTCCATATGAAATAAAGCATTTAAAGAAGTAATTAATCTTAAACCAGATATATTGCTTTGAAGAACGAGGTAATTTCTTAAAATTTCCTTTCCCTTGTTGGTAGAGAGTGTAGCATTTCGATGTAGAAACCATAACAGGGGAAAATGACAGTATATTATTTAAATATTTATACCATAATTTATGCAGAAACTGGGTCGAACTGGGGCTATACTGGGTTTTCTGGGGCCCCAGTCACTGGGTCTGGGTTGGGCCTGGGTTATGAGGTTTCGACCCAGACCCAGACTGGGTTGGGTTCTGGGTCGAGACCTTCGACCCAAACTGGGTCGTGCGGAAGTCTACTTCCTCCTATAGTACCACCCACCGATTCTCGGCGGCGATATACGTTGGTGTACGATTTAATAACCATACAGCGGCGCTTACGAACTCCAGCTATAGCTCCTTTAGGAGGTTCCCTTCGAGGGCGAGCATACGCATCCGGGTGATAATCATTCCACCTGATCTCTCAGCATACCCATTCATCTCTGAGTGCCCTAGGGGGGAGTGATATATCAGGATACTATCGCTTATAAGACTATACTCCGCTGCTCTACCAGCTACTGCTTTATTGTCGTAGTGGAAGGCCTTAATTAGCAGCTTCCACTGATTTCTTGCAAGTTATACAAACTGGTTAATAGCCAATTGACATTCAGGTTTCACTTCGTGAGTCATGATCCAGTGGAATCTCGGTCCTTCTAGGTAGAAGTGGGATATCCAGCGGTGCTTATTGTAGGCTGGCTGCAGCTGAATTAGGTCGAAATACACCCTTCCAAAACGTCCAAAGGTACGTCTAACTTATCGTCTTAAAATCTACCTCGGAGCACTTCCTATCTTACAGGTCTAATATAGAGATTCTTGCTCTGTGCTTACTCCTCCTTTATCGTCAAGAACAACACCGTCTACTATAGTAGCAAGCTTTACTACGGTCCGCGGTTGAATATATACTAGGCGTCGGTACCAAATTTCAGAGGAAGCCCTTGATTCCTGTGGCTTTACTGATTTCCGTTGTGCTTACTGCACAGTATATACTTGTTGTAGCGGAGCCTCGCCTAGCTTGTTAAAGATCCAGAGATTGAATTGATCCTATAGGTTTATACAGACAACAGGTCTATTATTTAGGTCCCGTATACAGTTTATACGTTAGCACCAGAGGCCGCCTTTCTTCTTTAGTATCGCGTACAACACGAGACTCGTATAGAAACTTAGTGAGTATAGAGCGTCGCTTAAGGTGATCTCTATCCTTCCCTTTACCGGGTGTCTCCCTAAAAGTCTGACTTTACCTCTCCCTAGCACCTACGTAGTACTATCTCCGGTTGTTAGGTCAATTATATCAGGTATAAAGTCGACGAATAGGGCTCGGTTATTACAGATATACGCACTTGATCCGGTATCAAGAATCCACCGGTCACGGAGGGAGGGCTCGCCTACCTTTACCACAGAGAGCACGTACTTGCTAATCTGTATAGCTTCACTTAGCTTACTTCGAAAAGTGGTTATAAAGCTGACTTAGTTAGCGGATTCGGCTGGTTTTTCCTATACTTACTGAGCTTACTAAGCTTCAGCTATCACTTTATCCACCTATTGCTTCCAAGCGTGGTCCTTTCCTAACTTCTTCTTTACTTTCTCTAGTTTCCCTTCGTTTAGGGTATACCCTTCTGGCCGAATCGCTTTGTTTAGGAGCTAGCAAGTAGCAACTTTATACTTCGGGTATAAGCTACCACAAGGGCAGTGTCTCTTCTCAAACAGAAGCTTCTCTTACTTTGTTTCCGGTTTCGCCTCTTAGTGACCTTACTAGGTCGAGAAAGCGCCTTTTAGAGGAGTGGTTGATAACACTACCTATACTCCTATCTCGCGATTTATCGCGCGGAATAATTCAAGGAGATCTCGGGTATCGTACACCTTCTTTTCTATCACTATTTCCTGGTATTTACCTTACCACTATATAGGTAGAACTTCTTTCACAGCGTACAGGAAGTCCCTATTAGTATCTCCGTCCTTAATACCAAGACTAACCGCTTGCTCCCTTAGCGAGTTCTACTTTTAGAGCCACTTATCGATATCTCCAGTCGGCTTCTGTATTGCAAACACTTTCCAACTTATTCGGATTTCCTCCTTATACGCGGTCGATCGAGCGAACCGAGACTTCAGATACACAAGTCTATTATACGGTGTACGATATATAATCAGTGCGAGGTGGTGTACTGGGTCAAGATAGGTAAGGATATATTCATTTATATCACTCAGTCCCTTTGCTTACTTCTCCTATCGAGTATAGCTCATTTTATACACGTCTGCTTAGTCTCTCCATTTCCTTCGATCTGTTTCGGTGCCCTCTTCAGGATATTCTGGTTGTACCGGTTCCTTTAGAGTATTAGGTCGTTCAGTTAACGGGGTATCCGGGTTGCAGTGATCCCAGACATTTTTTTGCATTGCGTATAGCTGCACCTTCGCAAACCAGGTGAGCCATTGCGGTGTATCCTTCAGTTTATCGCCCTTCATAGCGGAGAGAATCGATGCTGTTTCCATTGCTGGATACTGTGTTGTTTTGATGTGAAACAAGGGATGACTTTCTGCGGAGTGGCTTCGTGGAGGTTTATAAGACAGTTTCTAGCAAGTTGCTAGGTACTATATGCCGATATAGTAGTCTTATTCAGTGCGAACCGGGCTTATAACTGTCCGACTACTCCGTATAGTGGAAATGTATGGGTCCAATCAATGGTATTCAACTCTCCGTATTGCTGTATTGACTTCCTGGCAATTTATACTGTCCTGATTACATAAGAAATATTACTGCATACTTAGGATTAATAAATCCTCCGGTATCCTGGTGTATCTGCGCCGACAGGGGTGGTGTGAGCCAAAGGGGGGGTGGTCATATCAATTCCCTAAGAATATGAGGAAAACCGTCTAATTTGAAAGTCTGCCTATGAGCGGTACATGGCAAGAACCATCACTTTTACAAATTGCATCGTAATTAGCTCATCACGGAATTCTAAGTAGGTGATCCTTTCCAAGGTAGGAACCTCCGAATCGATATAGTAGTTGGCACACAGTTCACAGTTCACAGTTCTCACGACTTGACCTCCTCACTGATGACGATTCCATCAGCGCCGGTATTGTCACCACAATTGGAGTTCGACTGGCTCCTCTGTATTGCACGCATTTGCATAGCGCGAGCTACACGAGGGGGATCGAAGATGGACTTTGATTGCACGAAGATCTCGTCAATCTCCTCCAGTGACCGTCCCTTGGTCTCGGGGAAAAAGAAATAAACACTCGGCACGATAGCAGCGTTGACAACGGCAAAGATGATATAGTAACGATTTCCAATCGTGGAGAAACCGACAGGAGTTACCTGAGCTATCATAAAACTGAAAGCCCATACGGTGGCAGTGGATACCGCGTTGACTGCGGCGCGGACCTGAAGAGGGGCCAATTCTGCGGCATAGAGGAAGGTTAAACCGCAGTAGCCAAACGTGAAGATAAATTGAAAACAGAACAGGAAAACCACAGCCATGGCTAGAGCTCCTGTGTTATTAGCTGCAGATGGGGAGGTCGTGCCAGCCAGGCCTGCCATGCAGATTGCCATGGCTCCAGCACTCCATAACATGAGAGGGCGGCGGCCGAGACGGTCGATGGTAAAATAGGCCAAGTAACCACCGAAGGGTTGCATCATGGTCATTGCAGCAGCGAGGACTCGCGAGTCCACGGCGTCCATTTTAAGATACTGCTGGAAGATGGTTGTCGCGTAGTAGGTGATCAGATTCACACCACACATCTGCTGGAACATTTGGCCTGTGGCGGCTAGATATGCGCGGTGAAAGAGCCGTTGCTCGCCGTTTTTGAACATGTCCGTCCACGCCGCTGGGCAGTAGGCAAGAGATGTCTCGATGCTGAGGACGTTCTTATTGACATCATCCGAATGCTCATCAAGATCGAGCAATGCCGCGAGTACTTTGCGTCCCTCCTCCACCTGTCCGTTCTTAATGAGCCAGCGAGGCGATTCTGGTAGTATTGAGATGAAAATCATTGTAGTGACCGGCATAACGATTTGGAATGCGAGAGGGAACCGCCAAGAGACCGAGTTGTCTCTAACGAAATAGAAACCCAAATCAATCCATAGGGCAACAGTCACACCAATTCCCATAAACACGCCATTAGTGACGACGTTAGATCCTCGCTTATGCGCTGGCGAAAGTTCAGATTGCCAGACCGGGACTGTCGCCACATATCCGCCGATGCCCAAACCGAGGACTAGTCTTGCGACGATAAATTGGGCAAAATCGAACGATGCTGCCATAAGGATGGCGCCGATTATACTGACAAAGTTGGTTATGAAAATCACCTTGCGTCGGCCCCAGAGGTCACCAAGGTAGATGCATGATAGTGCGCCAAAGATACCTCCGACGGTATAGAGGGCAATGACGGTACCTGTTGTAAGATTCGATGAGTTAGAAAGCAACCAAAATTTGTCTGGATAGTGGCGAACCGACCTTGCATTAGTGAGTTCTGTTTGTTAAGTGCCCCGTCCGTATGAATTGTGTCCATTCTAGGAAATTGCAAATTGAACGCCTCGAGCGTTAATAGACCACCGGTCACTCCCATGTTGTATCCATAGCAGGTAAAGGTTGGACATACGACCAAGAAGAGGGCGGCACGTAGAAGGGAATTTCCCCGAAGACCAAAATACGGCTTCAATCCCATGACGAGCGAGGAAGTACCATATACAAAGTACAATTCTAGTCAAAAATTAATACGAAATTAAAAGTCGAAAATTGGAGGAACCGAGGCGGTGGCAAGATTTTTTTTTTTTTTTTTTTTTTTTTAGATTCGAAGATCGCCGAGTACGCATATTATTTGGGTCTTCATATGTGGGCCTTTTCATCTAATTGTATGTGTGCTCGCTTCTTGGTGGATCCTCCTCTTTTTGCATAGGGATATATTGTATATTATTAGTAAACATGACTTTCAATAACTAGTACATAGGTCTGTATTAAGTGCCCAGGTGAATCTATGCACATCTTGGCATGTACCCCGGAAAGTCAACCTCGGGATTTTCCAAACCCTAAAACTTTGATCAAAAAGGGCCTTAGGCAGCTTCCCGAGGTTGTTCTCCACAATTAGAGAGGTATAGAAGAGTAGAGTGCCCATAACATCTTTAAGCTAATCGCTTTTATTTGACTTCATATCTGCATTTCATGTATGGAAATATTGGGGATTGTACTTTTCATCTATATTCTGTATTCTGTATTCTACAGGTCTTTTTTTTTATCTCTCTGACTGTAACATCGAGAGCGTAAAAATATATCAGAAAAGACTCGTATTCCGTATAACGTACGTTGTGTTTAATATCATCTTGGGCCAAGTGATACACAACCAAGTCTTATGTGATCAAAGATAGATGCCGCATAAGTGGGCGACTAGGTAGTCTCGTATTGGATGTTGTAAGATATCCAATTTAGACTTTTCCTTTAAATCACGTACTTAGACCCGCTACTAATCATCGTATTAAAAGAGGAATATCCTCCTACGCAGACTACGAACAGCCTTGCTAAGAAATACGACTGCCTTTTTTTGTGTGTCATTGCATCAAAGTAGCTCGTATAGAGAACTAGAGAAGCCTTGCAGTAAGATATTACTAACCTCGGAGGGCCACATGGAAGGCCTGAACCACTAAATATTCTGTTAAATAGCCACCCCGCTTCCATGTTGACGAACCCTTCTTCTCTACAAACCAGTCACATTAAACAGTTTGCCATCATGCGAGTCAAGTGTTATATACTGCGCTACGGTGTTCGCCGCGACTGTTACTGGTATGATATGCGATACCCAAATGAGACTCGCGTTGATTGACAATAAGTACACAGGATTGATTGTTACCGAGCCTGCCGAGGGTCAATGTGTTGACCTAACCAAGGGTTTCACTATCCAGTGGATACCTTCTTCGTAAAGTGACCTCCCCTCAGGCAACCAAAAACAAAGTGCTCACTTAACTTTAGCGATGATCAACCTACGCTGTCGTTCCATCTTTGGAATGCTATGGGAGCAGTCCCACCCGTTGACGAACCGATTCCTATCGGTGATCGGACACCTGCGGTTATTAACTTAACTGTAGGCTCATAAAATGTGCCTACTGTGTCTACTGGGGATGCAGCACACTTCCACGAGATCAATGATGGGTATACCAATGTTCTGTTCCGGGACGACCGACAGAGTTGAACTGATTATCAAAAATTTATACACATAGAAAGGCATACCAGATCGAGATTGTGCCGATCGGTGATAAAGTCAACTATTATGGCCACCCATTCACGGTTGCGAGCCCTGGTGGAGGCTGTTAGAAGCTTAACCATCAAATATCCTGCCACCTGCACAAACAGGTAGATGGAAAGCAACCAGTTTATCACAGTGGTAGTCAAAGCGGCTGCTAGGCAAGGAAATGGCAGAGAGGCTGGTGGATTGCGAGCAGAGGATTGTGGTAGGGCGTGGGAACACTACTTAGAGCAGCCGGTTGCTTCGCTGCTCCTCATTATGTCTTTTATGGAGCCAATGAAGAAGCCTTACAGCCTCCTCATTCAGTACAATAGTATCCAATAGTAATGATTGCCAGTTGGAAGTAACAAAAGGCGTGCTGTGATAAGACTCCAATGTGCCACCCGCATCAACATCTACTACATAGTTTGATGAAGCAATAGCCGAGGAACAGAAAAGATCGGACTCTGCCTACATGATTGATGATTCTCCAAGCATTCCAGATTCTACGAGCTACGCATTCTGGTGTGTCTTACAGACGTACGCGCATAAAATGTATCTCCTTTTACACCGGCAATTTCATCCTTCTAAAGCACCCTGCTTTCTCCCAAAGTCCAGAGACAGATATATTGCTTCAGATACGGCATTTTTGTCTATCCACTGACAGCTTCATGGAGCCCCGTTAGAAAATATTTCTGCCTACTCAATTGAGTTACAAGCCTGAAGGCGCTACTGCTACGTACGGCCGTGGTCCTTAATTCTTGTCTTCAAGATATGCCATCGGCGATTGACTCAGCATATGACTTGGATTCTTTTCGTGATGAAATTGAAAACTTGGTTGTTCGGATGGAGAATCTGTCGTAACATTCGTTCCAGAGCTCATCGGATCCTCCGTCATTTCCAGTATGTCACTCCCCAGCGCCTCTTCATCATCAGCTAACAAAACATTACCCACAAGACCCATGCAAACACTGGAAACCCACAAACAATGGGTACGGGAAATCATTTCGAAAATTTGTTCGAGGATTGGGTTAATATCCGGGAATGGTTGGATACTGAGTTGATGAATTGGGTGCATGACTCGTCGATGGTTCTGGTTCTCGGCTAATTCTTTCGGAACTTGGATCCAGGTTTCAATTTATCTGCGCCCTAACCGGGATTTTGCATCAGATCGTTCTGCTGGTCGTGGACAGATTGGTTCTGAAGCTAGAGGCTCTCCTGTTGCTTCTCTTCGGCTTTTTTCCTCTGGACCCGCGCGCGTGCCAAATGCGACGTGTGTTCTCGACAGTCTTGACATTTGTAGGAGAGCCGAGAAGGATTGAGGCGATAGCGGAAATGCTCGAGCGATAGTCGTCGGTGACAAACCCAACACCGTCGGTTTGTAGACTGAGCCGAATCGGGAGGGGATACGATCACCTGAGCGGGAGCTGATAGAGTGACATCTTGGGGCTGAAGGGACGTGAAAGCCGGCTCTTGGTGTGTGAGCGAGGCCTGAGAGGTTATTGCGCCTTGAGATGCAGATCTGACTGAAGAAGTAGATGGCTGGGGCTGCGAGACACCCTTAGCGGGAGACTCTCGTGGCTTTTCAGGAGTGAGCAAAGCATCGGTAGAGTCACGTTTGCGTTTCCGAGGCTACTGAGAGTTAACCAAAGGCTCAGATAGTCGAAAGGATGAGCGAGGTCGCGTACCCTGTTGTTGATATCTCTGCACGTCACGCACATTAGGAAAACAGATGCAGTAGGCCTGTCGCGCCTATGGAACTCATCCACCGGCTTCAACTGGTGGCATCTAGAGCATTTACGCTCCATGATGATCAAGCTGTGTTGTGAGAATAATAGTTGTGCTGTGAGAATAATATCCCGAAAGGGTTGTGGGTGGTAACTTGTGAGAAATATCAACCCGCACTTCTCATTTTCATTTTTTGCATTGCGCCTGGCTTTCGACCTTATCAGAAAAGATTAAAGCTTTCTTTATTTCACATCCTTTCTTTCCCTTGCCAAGTCCTTTCGTTCCAAGTAATCAACGCATATCTCAGCTCCACAAATTCACCCTTTACCTCTCTTTCTCCTATTATCAACTACAACCAATACACAGCGTCACTGATATCCAACGAAACTTGGAGAAATGAAAAAACCTGATGGGTGAGATTCCTTGGCAGCTCGAGGAAGTGAGGGAGGGACACGGAGAGGCAGAGAGGTGGACACAGGAGACATCGAGATAAGTATGAGAAGCAGAGAGGCAGATGCGCGAAGAAGAGCGCCAAGCAGAAGAAACATCGAGAAGCCCACTCGAAGCAGAGATATGAGCATGCAAAGTAAAGGGGTGGATTTGCGAAGCGGACAGATATGCACGCGAAGCATAGAGGTCTGCATGCGAGTGGACTCATACATGAGTCTCTCATTTTCGCTTTCTGGGTTACGAACATTGAATTTGAAGTGGAGGAAAGTTTCATTCTTTGTTGCTGTCCCAACCTGACATCAGATAGTGGCTTTTGCGAGAATAGTCATCTCAATGGAAGATGATAGTGTTTGATGTTTAAATACGTGAGGCAAATCTGTCTCTTCAGTTTACTCATGTTGTAGACTCCGGTTACGGGAGTAGTGTGGTTAGATATCAGATCTATACGATTTTTGGAACGCCGAACCTACCCAGAAATTGGAATTTGGTTCGAAACAACTACCTAGTATGCAGCTATCAATTTATTTTCGAAGAATCAATTACCAAGTGAATCGCCAAAATCTTGCGTTATAAGAAACTACCCAGCTAAACAGCAGATTGAAGTCTTTGTTACATTTGAGATTGTTGAGGGTGGTCATGTGACCGCCCCACTCTCCTAGCTTTAGCTATCCTCCCATTAGATAGTTTCTTTTCTTCTCTTCTCTCTCTACGCGAATAAGAGTTTTCCAGTTACACCTACATCTTCATTGTAGACACTGCTACTCTTCTCAGAGATGTAATTATATATCTATACGGAGTATTTTGCTGAGAAACCAGAAGGAGAAATACACGCAAATAACACAAGAATTTTTTATACCACCAAGGGTAAGCACCAAATCTAATTTTATACATTTCTCAACACGCCGCGCGAGAATATTCTACCCCAGCTTCAGAGTCATACCAAATACTCCGAGCGAACCAAGTGTGACGATGACAGGCCCCCAGATTGAAGGGACATATCGGCCTAACAATAGATTTCTCCGAGTTGAAGTATACCGGGCAAGTGAGTACCCAAACGACCAAATACTGATGGCTTGGCAAACACGGCTAGCGACATGATCATTCGCGTACTCAAGAAGAATCGACTTGTTCTGTGTCTGTCTGCTTGGTAACTTTCCTTCGGAATTGGTCTCCAATGATGCTATGGAAGCCACGGCTGTCTCATCACGGTGTTTTCGGTTGAAGATGTTGTCAATAATATCAAGTCGAGTGAGAGCAAGTGACATAGCTGCAAAGGCTAGCCCGAAACGGTTCCAAGACAGAAATGTCCGTTCGTTGGCCTGGTGATCGCGTAGTTCCGATCTATTGTTGGCTACCGGTTGAGGCCATAAGCGACGGAATAGCTGACGGTTCATTTTGGCCAGTTTGTGGGTTTTATGGATATGAGCTGCTTTTGTGTATTGGCCAATTCCCCGAGTGTCCGTGAGAAAAGTTCATCTGAAGAAATTCGAGTGGGCTGGATCATCTATATTCCAGGAGATTAGTCACTCAAAAAATAGGGGACCTCGGGATCCCCGGGGCCACTATGGTACTTCAGACGCCAGTGCGCCCATAACTTATTTTCCTATAGTAAATTTTGACCGCTTTACTCACCGTTTATTACATAAAATTGCTAGGAGCCCACCTGGGCAGGGAGCCTTGTAGGTGGCCCTGGAGTCCTAGTTACCTAAGACCTCGGTCGGGAGGAGCACTGGAGGCTCAGTCCCCACGGCATCGGGGTTTCGGTCGCCCGCGGCCCGTGGAAGCAATACGGCACTATTTCGATGGCAATTAGGGTGAGCTGACATCATTACAACATTTATATCAGGTGGGTACTACCCATAGACACAATTATGATATCCGAATCTAGACGGAGTTAAGGTAAGCTTCTTAACTACAAATTGCGGGGCCAATCCCTCTGCTTGCCAACTATTTTACCATTCTCTCATCTTGACTTGTATACTTTTGGAAATTTATTTACAGCATGTCCTCCAGGTATGTCAGAATCATTATTCTTATTAGTCTTGATCATTGTACTTGTACTTAACTTTATATTATAGCACGCCCCAGGATCAGTTCATTGCCCTAGTTGCCAAGGGCGGTAAGTTGAACGAAGCTGACATCGAGGTTGTCTACAATAAGCTTCCCGCTCTTCCCATCGATCTCCTTCGTGGAGAGTGGAAGGGTGGAAGCTTCGACACCGGTCACCCCGGCCACACCCAACTCTTGTCTATGAACTGGCTCGGAAAGACCTTCCATTCCACTGAGAATGTCGACCCTATTGTTGTGTCAAAGGATGGAAAACGTGTTTGCGATGAGAACTGGGGTCATGCTGTGGTTAGTAAACTCAATTTGTTTCGGGGATGAAGTAAGTTCTCACATGGTACAGCTCCGTGAAATCCGTTTCCGTGGTCTGCTGTCAACCGCTATGATCTACGACAAGCACCCTATCATTGACCACTTCCGTTATGTTAATGACAAGCTCATTGCTGGAGCCATGGACACTAGCACCTTCGGTGACGCTGGTACCTACTACTTCTACCTATATAAATAGGTCCAAAAGAGCCATGACTTTGGGTATTAGAATCTGGACTTCAGGCCTGTCAATCCAGTATCTTAGGCTGGGCTGCATCATTGAAGAGGAGAAATCCATACGTGTTGATGAATGCCAATGTGTCCTACTTTTTATCAGATTCCGCCCCAATGCCGTGTGGTGCGAGAAGTCTTCTCGTTTACCATTCTTTCAGATTTCATCTTTTCCCTCGAGCTCCTGAATACTCCGCTTACCGCCGCCACACACTCCTTTGGCCTACCCAGTTCAAATATATAGTTCTCGTCATTTTTTAATCATGCCCGACTTTTTCGTTCCTTTTTTCCACTCAAAACAAGTGCTCTGTAGATCGAACGTTTTAGGATACCGTATCGAGCTAAACTCTTCTTATATCTGCATGGTACTTTGATGACACCGAGGTCCATGTTGAAACCTAATAAGGCTAAATGGCCTCAATTTGACTAGTTTATAACGTGATATATTTCTACAGAACAAGAGTAAAACCTAAAGTTATTTCTGTGTATCATATTTCCGAGGGTATGGCGCGGTTTTCGAACAATTTAGCCGATTGATCCGAGCAGTTAGCACTAAAGATGCTTCCTAGGATGTGGCGATGCTCAATGCTCTTTACGCCGGGATTGAGAAGCTCTTAGTCTTTATGCGAGACAGTTTTAGCACTAACATGACCGAATATTTCTCATATAGAATGTGGGCGCCGTGGTTGAAGTAGAGAAGCAGCGAAGGAAAAATGTATGTGACAGTAGAGATCTTGTTACATAGCTGCTCTTCGGGTTGGGATATCTCGCCTCTAGTGGCGAGGGGGATAGACCCGCATTGACTCTTGGGCTATCATCAAAATCAGATCATGGGGTCACTCGATATGTTGAAAAAAGAGAAGTTGTTATTTTCTGAAGAAGGTACAGAGAAGATGCCAATAGACTATATGTAGCGAGAAAAGTCGATCTTTTACTATTTTGCAAAGAGTATGAACGTGGTTTCCTAGTTCGAGTTTTGCCCGAGATATTATTCTCTCTATTCCAACAACCGGTACAGGCGTTGAAAGTCCTTTTAACTCCGGACCGATGTCCGACACCTACAGTTTCAAAATGTCAGCTCAAATATCATCCACCTCATCCAAAGTTGACTCGGAAATAGGAAATAACAGCTGGATTTAAAAAACCGCGGCCCGTGGACATACCCACCAAGTTCACTAGTCCGAACACCAGAACAACTTAGATTTTCGCCAGTATGTAGTTTAAAGTAGAGTTAGGGTTAGGGTTAGAAACGGGGTCTAAACACAAGGTAATTAATTTTTCCAAAATGTTGGGCCCAATCATTGTAGACCTGGCAGTGACCCTCCGGGTGGTCCATGACCTTGGACCCTCCGAGGGTCCAGCGACCCGCCAAGACCTGGAGTTCTACATAAATATACATAAAACATGGTTTATAAGCATATTATTTCGCATTTAGGATAGGTTATGTATACATATTTTTCTTGGCGGGTCTAGGATCCTGACTTTAGACCCTCCTTAGCGCCTTGGCGGGTCCAAATGGAGGGTCACTGCCAGGTCTAGCCCAAAGCCCACGAGTGGGTTGGGCTTTGCAGAGGCCTACCTACTGTCATCAACAGCTCCTGCTAATTCCCTCAGCCCCTTATAACCAAACCAAGTCGGTCATCCAACTTTCAGCACCTTCACCGTCCTTTATCGTGTACGACACATGATATACGAATGATATATCTAACCGCATTGGACCTGATATGTGACGGCATATTTGAGTAGAAAGTTGGAACAGCCGCACATTGGCTATTATGAGTAATATCTGTGTAGACTCGCGGCGAGTGGATGGCTGTGAGATACTGTCATCAATATCAGTCATTGAAATCTGCTTGTAGGAAGCCCTCGATGTTCAGAAGATATAACCTATCAAAGTCCCGAAATAGCATGCCCTAGTATGTGTGCAGCGTGAGCAGGCCAGCGTAGCAGTGCCGCCGTCTTTCGGTCTCAATAGGACCAAGATTTTGGTCCAATGGAACCGCAATGCAAGGCCGATATTCAATCCATGCCATTCCTAATAAAGTCTATCCCTAGTCGACGGACTCATTGTGCGAAACATTATAAATGACTATTAATAGAGTCCCAAAGATGCTGAACTTGGGACAGATGAAAATGTCGTCCTACAAAAGGCAGCTTATTGCGGTTTGGAGAAGATAGCGAGATGCGGAAACCGTGACAGCACTTTGTCGAAATATCACATACTATACTGGATGAAAACAGGGTATTTTACCCGAGAATATCATGACACCAGTACCTGGCATGCTATACAAAAGTGTATTTAGAATTATCAGCCATATCCGCACAGATGGGTTGTTCAAAAGGCGGATTTTGTCATATTTTACTAGTCAGTCACTAGGTATGTATATCCATTGACCATACGATACCTTGGTTTGCACCAGATTTCTGTCAGATATGTAGGTACAGTCAGACCCAAAAATAGATACCTTGGTTCGATGTGACCCTGCAAGATTCGAATGTTATTTTTAGTTATTTCTTTTTCTTGGATTGTTCTACAAAAGCCTGAAAAACTCCCTCCGATTCTTCTACTTTAATATCCATCAATTCCGTAACTTGAGCATCAAAGGCGAAGTTTTCAATCTAGTGATATCGATATGCAATTCTCCTATATCCTCTTTGGTATTACTACCCTTCTGGCTACTGTAGTCACTGCCGCTCCTGCAGAGGCGGGCAAGAGTGATTGCGGACGTGTTTGCTACCCTAAAGACCATAAATGTTCTGAGGGATTGGTGAGTTCATCCTTCAAATTTCTAGTTTGTAGCATGTGTCACTAACATTTTGTTTAGCATTTGAAAGGTGTACGTACTAATAGCTCATTCTTCCCAGTGACTGACTCCTAACCATGTTATCAGTTCAATAATAACTATTGCTACCGATGCTGCCAATAAATTCATTCGCTCTTTACGAAATTTTGTTTATAGTTGAAGATAAGAATGCGTACAGAACCTCCTATCTAAAATGAAATATTTTATCAAATCATATGATGATGATGATGATCTTATTTACCCGATGTAGCCCGCTTTAGGCTTCCGCCACAAAGCCCAAAGCCTAACCCGACCCAACCCGTAAAGGTAAACACTGTTGGTACCGCTCGAATCACTACTGGCACAGCGGTCTAGCTGTATTTAGCATAGTTAGACTGCGACATCGCCCATGGACGGGCGGGTGGGCAGTGCCCACGGGCCTTATGTAAGCGGGCGATAGGCACTATCCATACGCCCATGGACGGGCCCTACCCTTAGGGCCCATTGTCCATGGACACCGTGGGCGCCTATAGGCCTTTTTAGTAAGCAGAATTTCTTGACCTCGTGACCTGCATTATTTGTGCATTTTTTCTCTGTATTTTTGAGTAATTCGATTATATATATAATGACTTAATACTACTTAATAAGAATTGCGTTTTGCTATTTGGCTGCCTTTTTCGGCCGCAGGTGAGGCCGAAAATGGCCGTCTTTCAGCAACCTCCCTCCGCCACGCTCCCGCCTCCTTCGACCACGCACCCACCGCCCACCGCTTTCTGCCTCAGACAGCCATTTCGTGTGCGCTTATATCCTGGGTTCCTAGGAGGGCTCATTCGTAGCTCCACCACGCCTACTGGGGAGGGGGGCGCCGAAAATGGCCTCCTTCACCACTATACCAGCTGCACTCTGGCCAGCTCCCAGCCGCTATGGCTATAAATACCCCTTTCCCACCTATTCTCCGTCTAATACTGTCCTTATTTCGACTCAAACACCACTCCAAAAATCTCCCTCTGATCTTCCGTTGTGCTTTCTTCTATTTAGTAGTGTCGTGCGTTGATATATCTTGAGCTCCGAGGTAGTTCCTTCGTACGCTCGGCGAATTTTATTAGCTATATATCGTCGGACGCCTAATACCGGCAACCACGAAATCACGAGCGAATCCTCTTGTACTTCTCCTATCGATACCGACAATAATAGACCGTTCGAGCCCGATTCCTCTGAGACTGATCTCACCGAGCTAGAGCGCTCCCCTCCAGCGGGTCGAACAATTGCTCGGAAGAAGCTAAGCCTAAAGACTGGAACAAAATCGTTACCAACAGTCCTATCGAATATAGAACGTATCTACTAGGCCCGATACTAAGTGCCCGATGATAACACGGATAAGGACCTGGCCTAAGTACCGGAGGATTACGGCCGATCTAACAAAACAAAGAAATTGAAACTTCGACTGAAAGAGCGTTGGGCTTAGTAAGTGATTAGGATATCGTTGAAAGCTTATACTGTGTTAATATTAACTGATCGACTTAGCTTATTTTAGGTACTGCTAAATAAAAGCAATAGAACTATCCACTAATTATAAGTGGGGGGTTACGGAGGATACACTGCGTAAAGCGTTACCGAATAATATATATCGATTTCTCAATTGGTATCTGAAGCTAGAGTACAGTCCTAATAGTCGCCGCCAGAAAGGCTATACAAAGGCTAGCGCCCTTAAAGCGGATTAGAAGTACTTCCGAATTTACTACCAGCGAGTTACTAAAACCGAGATAAGTAAAGAGATAGGCGAGGCCGTTCGCACAGTTTGTTTTCGACCTCCCTCCTAATCGTCTATAGGAGGCTTACGCTAACAAAGATTGATAGGGTATAAGATACTTAGTGGATAAGCGCGGTCTGGATATACAACCGCGCGCAAATATCCCAGTATATATCGAAGATATAATTCTATTCAATAAGACAATCCTTTAAACACGGGAGAAGCGATTCTACTTAGGGTTTCAGCGTATTATCCTATATTTATATAACACTGTTAGGTTATTTACTATTAACCGAAAACAGGTAATGCTTAACCTTCAGTTTAAGTATTTATAAATATCGCTCCAGTAGGATCCGTACAGAGGACCTCCTAAGCCGATAATCGAACTCGAGCCCCAGTTTGTGAAAAGCGTCCTGGGTATATCGAAGCTGTAGGTAGTACCTAAGTCACACTTATTTACTACAATCAGACTGACTGATCGATATTACTTAGCAATACGTTTACGCTACCTAAAATTATCTACGGTGTATCACTTATCTTCAGCCCGTATATCCTACTCTTTATTATATTATTTTATATCTACGCCTTTGAAGCGCCTCACTTAATATCGATAGAAGACCTTCGGAGACTACTTATCGAGGGTGGTCGACAGGAAATACTACTTCCCTTAAAGAAAGAGATAGATAATTACTATATCTTCCTAAAGGTCGAGGTGATCTGTAGCCAGCCCCGTATTTTATAGGAGACACCAATAAATAGAAGCACACTCGACGCACAGCTCAGGATATCCAGTGAGATACACGGCTTCCTTAATTATTTTTTCTCTCACTAATTCCGATACGGAGGAGGTGATTTACTCGATAAGAGTGGTGAGTGGCCTATATATCCCTAAGTTTTCTGTAGATAGGTAGACTAAGTCTTTTATCTAGGTTTTGTTAGTGAAGTACAGCGTAATATAATTATAGCCTACACCACTAGTAGAACGTTTATTAAATATTATTGTCCCCGTCGGTATACTGGCTTATAAGAGATTATATACGGCCTCAATCTAGACAAAGAGTTCTTAAAGGCTGTGACCCGGATAAGTCGTTGGATTAATCGGCGACGACCACGATACCTAAGCGACACTGATCGGGAATCAGTAGAGAAAGACCTAGAACTGCAATCAGCTATATACTAGTAAGTTGATTTAGAGACCCAGTGCGCTGATCGCTCTTATAACCTAGTATTTCGGGCGATACTAGAGGACCAGAAGCGTTAAGTCCACAATCTACACCGGTGTCTATAAGACAAACAGCGGAAAGAAATACACCGCGATTTTAGTCGGAAATAGGCGGTAATTGATATTGAAAGACAGCTGACTAGTAGGGCTGTTAGTGATAAGCCTGCGCGCGAGGTATTACGGAAGGAGTTTAAAATACCATCGGAGCAGATTCTTCTCGTAGAGATATTCTTTACTTGGCCTACTACCGATTTATTAGAAGACAAGTAGACACGGCGTAACAAAGCTGTTACGGCTGGAATACAATATTGCAGCTTTCAGGAAGGTAGGCCCCTTAAGGGACAACGGAAGCGCTCTACCCCGTCCGACAATAAGGATATCGTTCCCTCTCCGCTAGCTCGAAAGGTAAAAGCTAATACACAGCTAAATACGTCGTAGGAGAAGGGATATACCTCTGGCGGGAAATATATCCCGAATACAGAGTAAACATTCGTATACTTCCAATACCCTAAGATATACTCCGACTATAATAGAGTGAAAAGGTATTTTAGGATATTATATCTAACGGACCGGATATATAATTTCTGCGATTTGTCCGTCCTACACGAGATACACTTGCGGAGGTATACCGAGGATATCTATAGCCTTCGAATATAAGCGTTAGATTCTACTCTTCCGATCTTTAAGGGCCTTACGCTATTTCTTTATTTCTCTACTTAGATACACTTAGCGGAGCTATACCTAGTGACTATTTCACTAAAGCGTACCTTATTTGTCCCGATTATTTAGAGTCACCGGAATAAAATCCTATTATAGTTGTTTCAACCTTTTGATTGATAGGTTATAATAAATTCGACTGCCTTCCTCTTTTACTTATCTCTGTATACCTATTAACTTTTCGTATATCTTATCACACAGATAAATCACTATTATAGAAGAGACCTTAAATATCGACTATAGGCCCTTAACTTTGTCTGTTTCCGCCTTAGGTGCTATCATTGAATTGTATCGTACAGCTGACTACTAAGAGTTTCTCTTAAGGCCTACCCGTGAACTTTTATATAAGCTTCGGGGTATAATCGAGATTTAAGGTTATTTAATAATATAGTTAGTCGGGACAGAAGTTACTAGTGATATAATATTCCTATTGTCCCGGTGCTTAAGTCTAGATATATTTCGAGGATATACTGGTGAGTCACTAGATATATATAGCGAATAACTAGTAAGTTACGTTATCTTACTATTAAGAGCGTAGATAATTATTTTTGCTTATATATTCGGGTATAATTCAGATATAAATAGATTGATCGTAGATCCTATCTCAGAAGTCTTCTAGCTAAGCAATAATATTGTTTTCTACTTTAAAAGGTAACTAACAGTATATAGCGCTGAAACCGTGGTCTTCCCTACTATATACCCCGAAAGCGTGCTGGTTCTAGATTTTGAATAGGGTCTCTACCTTCTAACGCTAGTTCAGAACCAAAAGGAACCTCTAGAAGGCGCGAAAGACTTTGTAACTTAATATCTCTTCAAAAAATTTGAATTAATACAGGGCTTTATAAACTAAGATTAAGTATAGATCTTCCTTAAAAGAGTCTAGATCCTCTATCTAGCTAATAATCAGCTTCTAGGGGGCTGATTTATATTGTCTTGAAATACAAAGTAATAAATAGGCCTATAGGAGAAATTAAAGAACGGGACTAAAGGAGAATAAAGGCTCACAGGGAATTATATAAGAGATTAAACAAGTAGAAGCTAATATAATGGTTTTCTTCTAAGAACGAGAGAAAACTGGAACAACGTATAAAAGTCTTTAGGTACAATAATATATAGTGAATTATTAGCGTATAGATAGTGCCTATTCTATTAGTAACCCGTAAAAGCTCGACGATTATATCCGCTTATTCTGAATCTAATAGATATTCCGAGAGAGTCCAGTAAAGCTTATTTAAACTTATATTTCGAAGTTAGTCCAATCTATATCTAGTAGCGAAGTTATACAAACGAGTATACACTAGCAGTGTCTTAGGATATTTACACAGGTGGTTTCTATCTCTACAATATAGTAAAGATATCGAATTGTCGGTCTTTACCTAGATATCTTTATAACTCGCAAAATAATTTTCTTTTAAGGGAAGTAGATCCTACGTTACAATATCGATTTTATCTTCGTATAAAGTATAACTCGATTTATCGGCTGCTAGAATAAAGACAGAGTAATCCCCACTGTAAAGGTACTAAAGGATATAGCCAAAGATATCCTCAATATCGTCGTTAACTATATAAATTATTTCGGGCGACCTTTTATAACGACCCCGGAGGCTTTAGATTATCCCGCTAGGCGCAGCGAATTTCTTCCCGTTAGGGCTAACCTCTAGGTATACGAGGGGGGAGATAAAGTCACTAGGTGTTTTTAGATAACGCCTCTAGAGGAAAGGAAAGCGTACTTACTCTAGCTGTAGTTAAATTATAACGAGATATTTCGTCGGTATTATCAATTAAACTCGAGGCAGCACTATATACAGGAGTATCGGAAGAAGTGAGCAGTATAAGTTTAAATAATTGATCAGTGGCTAATAAGAAATATATCGTCTATATACTACCTCAATATAATTGATCTAGGACGCTGACTCAGCGTACTAGAGCAAGGCCTACGAATCTTTCTTTCGTGGTCTCCTTCACCCCACTGGAACGCCCAGCCCCGCTACCTACGTTATTTGCTAGCTAGAAAAGGGGTATCTAGGGTAGAGGTTAAGATTTATCTTAGTGTAAGAGGCTCGCCTATTATAGTCTTACCTTCAGTATTAAACTAGAGGGTTTAAGAGCCCCCCTTAGGGACGTTTACCAAGAAATTGAGGCTAGATAAGCTTTACGATAGATTTAACTAAAAAGCTAGATATAGCGCTTCTTATATAGTATTCTGTATTTAGGGGGGCTTCTATAGATAGAGGAAGAGTGTTTTCTGGCCTATATTGTCCCTAGGCCGACAAAGATATAAATCTACTGCCTTAAGGCTAGTTATATAATAGATCTGTAGATCTACGTCTAGGCGGGCTTTGAGTCTAGAGATATAGGTCCGTGGTTAGGAAGCTATAGTAGGAAGGCTTTGGTTTTAGGTACTAAGTGGACGTAGACCCACTTTAGACGTATATCTACGGCTCCTAGTCTAGGTAGGCTTTATAGCTATTAACTAGCGGCTACCCTGGCTCAGTGACTATAAGGGTCCTCGGTCTTCTGACTACGGTCTATATAGGATATAAGTATTTTGATCTAGATCTCAAGTGTATTATTATCGCCTAATACCGGTGTTTTATCGGCCGATTATTATCACTACCGGGTTTAATTACTTATACGATCGAATTTACCGCCTCTTTACTTATAACCAGATCGTCGCCGAATATTATAAATATTGTGTTCGTGCTATCCTCAATCGCTATATTAAAGCACTGCCCCGGTGGGACCTACCGTAGATTCTGGTTATAAAACGTTACCTGACGTTCTCGCGCGTTTTTAGACGCTATTCGCCTAATAGGAGAGGGGTCAGATAGATCGACCACTATTTAGTGGACTAAGCGATTCCAGTCGCTGTGTTTATTACGTATACGGAACTTGATTGTCACTGCAGAATACTTAGCTGTATCGCTAGCTCCTTCTCCTCGCTCACGAGACTTATTTTATTCCTCGGGTAACTTATCTAACCTAGCTATTTCTATTGGTATACGCGTATCAGTCTACGCAGGAGACTCTCGTTATAGTAACGAAGAGGGGCGCTCTACTAGAGTGTCCTTCTGCGTAGTATCGGCTATAATATAGACCTCCGGCGAAGCGTCTAGTGGTACAGACTTAGACGACTATTCTTCCTGTTCCGATCGGATATTCCTTATTCTATAGTGTTCTGAGTTTTAATCGACCGAGCCTGATCTTTCTTCCGGTACCTATTGCTGGTCCTAAGTCAGGTTAACTTAACTAGCTATAGGCTATAAACTCTACTCTTTATTTATCTCTAACAAAGGATAATACTGTGCTTCGAGGAAATCAATTTAAGTACTAGGTCTTACTGTCTATTCCTAATCAGCCGTTCGTAACAGTGCGTTTATATCCTACTCTAGAGTTCCCTGTGGCGGAATAGATAACTTACGGGTTTATTAGCGCCGTTGCGTGCGGTTATATAGTTTGAATTTAGCGATCTCTCGCAGCGCCGCACTTTTAGTACCTACAATCCTAGAGGGGCCCGATATTATCTCCGATACCCTACGTCCTTCTAAAATTACCAGTGCTTTTTCAACTTCTTCCGATAAAGAAAGCTGCGCTGCTGTTTCTACCGCTTTATTCTCTTATTCGCCTACGTACTCTTCTATATTGATATCTATCGAAGATTCTCCCCCAGCTATATTTTCCTCGCCCCCTCCCCGCGGCTGCTTATCCTCAGTATCAGTAAGACAGAGGATTTTGTTTTCCTTACCTATTGGTACTATAGAGTCGTGATCTTTAAATCCAGCGGCGAGGGGGTGTTATTGCCTCTTATACAAATTTATATCTAGATATAGTGGTAGAGAGGCTATAGATATCAAACGAAACTCTCCTAGTGACTGTAGGGGTTATATCAAGGACAGTTAGTCGTACGAGACCGTTGATACTTATAGTTCCGTGGAGGTATACCTTGACCTAACAGAAGGCGAGGGAGGTCTCGAGGGAACAAACCTAAATCCAGCGTAACTATCTTCTGATTCTTCACCGTCGCCGAAACTATAACCCCCCTCAATAATCTCGCTGTACTCCGGTTTATCGGCTTCGGCTGGTTCTATATAAAGATAACCCTGCTTATTTTGACTTATTATACCCCTACTTCTAACGAACCCAAATTCTGTCTTAGATACTGGTTCCACTACCTCTCCTATCCGGCTACCTTCCGAATCAATACGCGCGGTTTCCTTGCTATAATAACGGTCGGTATATAATGATCGGTGTCTTCGCTGCTATTATTGCTGTTACCTCTATAGCTTTTTCGCTTACTTCTGCTGATGTCTCCCTCGGTGTATATCTTTCAAACGTTACCGCTCTAAGTTACTATCCTGCCCAGCTCCTATACCCGCAGACCCAACCCGTTCTCCTATATCTTACAGCGAACTATTGCTCGGAATAAAAAGCGGGGATATTGGTAAGTCTAGAGTTAGAGATCTACCCGCTGTGTCGTTGTTTTTACGGGGTATTAATAGCTTGCTGAAGAAGGTAAAGTAGACACTCCTCCTTACTAAAGTAGAAGTAGCTTTTCGTTCCCTTTAGAGGGAATCACTATAGAGTTAGTCGATGAAAAGGAATTGACAATCTTGCAGTTAGGCTTCGGTTTGCAGATATCTATATCGAGATTCCTTCTTAAATTCCCTCCCACTAACAAATTGTACTAGAAGCTTATAGTCAAGAAGGACGGCCCTTAAGAAGCACTCGGTGACTTTATTGATCAGAGATTCAATTTCTTCCCTATTGTACCGATAACGATCTAGTCGATAGGCTCTTAAAAGAGTATCTTTCGCAATTTACCGATCTAGCGACTGCTGAATAAGCTACTCAATTTGTGGTGACTAAAACCTAAGTCTCTTTGCGAGTACAGCCATCTTATACAGTATTATAGGCTCTACTACCTTATAATTAGGCTTCGCTGTAGGATTTTTCTTCTAAGGCTTTTTAGATAACTTCGGGTAGTGATATATAGTATAGAGCTATAGTTATCGATATCCAAGTTCCGCTAGGTCCCCCTAGGAGTGCGAGTAAGATCGAAACCCAGTTTCGGATATTTATATCAAGAACTGTGTATAGGTAGAATCAAAAGACAAGAAGGCCGCACGCGTAGCGCCTCTAATCGTGGGGAATAACCTAGAAGGTATAATAAGCCGTTTAATATAGTTTGTGTATGATTCTAGGTACCAGAGATCTTTGAAAAACGTATATAGGGATAGAATTATACCCTCTGTCCTCTTTAATCGCTTCTAAATTGAGGTCCGCTCGGATACTGTGAAGTTTAAAAAGACTTCGCCACTATATATAAGACCTTTTACGGTGGTTCTATCCTTCGAGGAGACTCTAGGTACTAGGAGTTACAATATTTCCACCGTATAAGGGTTAACTTTAAGTATCTTAGCACAATCGTATCCTACGAGTGAAGACTAGTATTCCTGTAGCCTAGTCAGTGCGTGAACTATCTCCTGCGAACGTAATCAGTATCTATATTTTTTTAAGAGTTAGACGACCTTACCTTATCGCAGCAAATAGCTAGAGCCTGCGGAAGAGATCCGATTTATATTCTATATATTATTAAGGAGGGTAAGCCGAGTAATAAGTTAAAAGCAGCTCGGACGCTCGGATAAGACTTAAGTCCGCGAAGCCGCCTGGCTTTATTATCTAACAGCCGCGCTAACTATCGATTTTCGAAGTGTAAATTTGCTTTATATCGATATTACCGAACTTTTAGGTAAATCTCACTATCGCTTAGAACTCTCTCGTTAGAATATTTATCGACAAGGCTTATTTAAAGATCGGGACTAATATCTTAGGGTTATTAAAACTGCAGGAAAGTATATAGTGGATTTCTGGCTTACTATCCAAATATAAGTTAACAGTCCACTATTGGTCGATCGACAGTAAATAGTGTTCTCCGGCCTTTAATCGATATTGACTATAAAGGCACTGTATAGAACCAGTAGAGAAATAGAGGTATAGGTAGCGGCTCGGTTGATCAGTTATTATATTAGCGGCGTTTACTCGCCCTACTTAAAGAGCCTTATAGAGATACTCTCTTGATACAACAGCGCTCACGTGGTTATATATATCGAGTCTTCGATAACCTTCTTTGTTAAATACCTCACAGAGTCTTTCTATATTTTTTGTGTTTATATATTGCGAAATAGATAGGTAGGGGGTAATCTAGCTGATATTAACCTTGGCTGTTCCTTAGTAAGTCCGATACCTTTCTGTCACAATCTACAGCTTAGGATCTATATATATAGACTCGTCTATAGTACTGGTGAGGTAGAATATACGTAGTAGTAGAGTATCGGTTATTTATATTTAACTAGTCTTAGCCTCACAGAAGAAAGGGTCTACCTAGCTGATTCAGCGTCCTAGTGACTAATATAACTACAAAAGCTGGGGGTGGCCCTTAAAACAAATTTACTTCTATTGATACAATTATATTATAAATAGGCCTCTTCGCCTTTAAGTGCTATACGTTTCTACCTTATTTCCTTTCTGTATATCTTAATCTAGCCCAAATATATCGAAACAAGATAAGCACTGCACAGCGATTGACTTTAAGAGCTACTAAGAACGGCTTACAAATAACCTATTATAAGAGACACCCTTAAGCAAACAGCTACACTAGTTTAATACACCCACCTAATTAGATAGTAATTCTAACTTAAAAAAGATAAAAACGTCTCCCCGGAGCGAATATATACGAAAGGTTGTGAGTAGAGGCCCCAAACTCTTTAGCTTACCTCAGGTATACGAGGAAGGTATATCTCGCGGGTTAATCGTAAGGGAGGAATCACCCTAGGACACTTATCGTCGGACACTTAGGTATAATCTAGTAGGTGAGGTGTTTATTGCAGCTCGCCGTTCCCGTCCGTCCTAGGTAGTAGCTATTCGGGAGTACACCAAAGGGGATATAGCTAAAATACAACGGCTGTATAATATCCTTAACCACGATAATATATTAACGGCCCGAGAGTGCTTCGTAAATAAAGGATATATATACGCTCTCGTTAACGACCTCCAGCTTACTTTGGAGCAGCTTATAGGGTGTCGGTCTCTCTATCCTACGGAGGCGGAATTAGCTTATATAACTTAGTAGGTATATAGCTCTTAACACTTCAAGTATTTTAAGCTCACAACAGTGCAGATTTTGGATAGTTTATATTACCTCAATAAAACTGGATTAGAACACTAGTCTCTGATATACCGGAATATTCTTCTCGGCCTAGATAGCGTTATTAAGATCGGTAAGTGGCAATTACCTCCTTCGTAATAATTATTCTAACCCCCTATAGCCAGCTTAGAGATATATATAGAACGTCCGCCGGGTCAAGCACAGAATATATATATCAAAACTCTCGCTTCTATTACTATAGAAATTATACAGAAGTATATAAAAGATAATAGAATAGTGGGAGTAGATAATGTGGATCGTTGGCCTATCGACTCGGATACCTTTAGGTTCCTTTCCGCCCTCTCGACAGCAAAGTCTATTGAATCTTTAAAAGATATACCTAAGCCAATATATTACGAGTAGACAAATATAAAACTAATATTTATCAGTAACCGCTTATCCGTAAAGAAAGTCGATTGGTAGGAGAGTTAATACTTCTTAATCGGTCTGTTTTAGTCTCTATAAGGATATTCTATTCCTACAAGAGATAGTAGGAAACGATATCTTTTAAGGAATTGTGAGTATTGGCTTGCTTATGGTTTTCAAAGGTTCCATTATATACCGGTAACTTTCAATTATATCGGAAAGGCTCTCAGTAAATATATTAAGCTTATATCTAGATAATACAATATATCAGCTTATATACTTCAGCAAAGAGCTATCGGTAAAGCTCTAATCTTAAGTACAGAAGAAACTAAGAACCTAGAAGTGCTATATTTTCCCCAATAAATCCTTAAACAGCGGCTAGGTCCTAACTCTTCAGAATATCACAGTACAAAACCAATAATTACTAGTTATAAGTGGAGATCGTGGGCTTAGAATATTGTCTGAAAATTGAGATAGGTATAAGGCGCTATTCCTAAAATAAGATATAGCTACTATATAAGGGACTTTATATATACTACGTGATTGACTTATAGTGGCTACGTGATTAACTTATAACCGGCCTATCGGGAGGCTACAGCTGACCGAAATCCTCTAATAGACCACAATCTTTATCACGAATTTATTGAAGAACTTAAAGGATAGGGACCGAGAAGGTAGTGCTATCCGTAACTACCAGCCAGCGCGCGTATCGAGAAGACAAGGATTGGTTATAGAGTATAATCTAATAACGTTAGCTTAGGGGGTTATTTAGAGATAATTCTAAGTTAGTAATTGCGACTTAGAAAAGGCCCCTCCCTCTAGGGCACAGTTCCCTGCGGCCTAAGAGTAAGAGAGAGACAATAGCATTGTGAAATAATATATTTAACTCAATACCTACTAGATATAATTATAGCCTTAGAATCTCTAGAGAAAGATTAGGTAGGAAGAAGCAATTCTAGACAGAGACTTAAGGTTAGGAACTACCTATCTTTCTAGCTTATATAAAGTTGCTTTATTCTCTACGGGCGCCTCTTAGATAATATTTAGCTGGTCCTAGGAAAAGCCGCTATCACCTCTAAGTATAAGGTCTACTACTATAGACTCAAACGATCGATAAAGACTGGTTAGAGCTAGGTAGCGATTGAGAATATAAATAGCCAATATATCTACTATTTTATTCTGAAAAGCTGTTCTTCTACCTCTATTTCAAAGTCAGCAATATAACTATTCTATAGGGTATAAATAAGCGTATATTTAATTTACCAAGTCTTCACTGGCTAGTAAAATCACACTAAGTCCTATATAAGTAGCAGCTTTCTACCAACGCTCGCCCCAGCGGTATTGATCACTCAAATAGTCGCGATCTATTTTTTAGGGCACAAATTAGTTCCTATAAAAAGCCTATAAGATAGAATCTCTAGCGATCGTAGGGATTACCCTCTGTTATCGGTTAAGCGGAATACCGTTATTCTCACTTTCCTTCAAATCATTGATATGATTTTCGAAATAAATATAGATCCAAATCTAGGTAAGACAGCGATTTATATCGTCTAACTTCAAAACTGAATAAGTGAGCGAGTTCAGGTACCTCAGATATAACACGTATACCGTTAGGGACGAAGTCAAGTTAACACAAGGTAAGGTATACAAGTAACAGTTAAGTAAAAGAGACTTAAACGAGGTAATCGGGCCGTCGGATCGTATAATTGTGATCAAGCTATCACCGTAGTCTTCGACGTCTCGAGCTTATTTTACGCTTATAGTCTCGCCAGTTGCAATCTGATATATTGTTTGAATACAGTTAACGTACTCAGCTACCTAGGTCCGGTTATCGACTAGCTTATATTTGTGAAAGGTTTCCCTTTCGATCTCTTATAATTTCAGAAGCTTAAGATCTAGTGAAGTGAGGGCTCTTCTCTAGTAGTGATTTTTAAGGCTAAAAGCACTGAAATTGTCTTCACTAGGCTTTGAATACTCGAGTTATTCTTTTTCGTTAATCACGATAGGTTGGATTTCTGTGTTTCCACGTTTCGCAAAGGTATATACGCCTAGACTTAAAGTTTGGAGACCTATTGTTATTATCTCTTTGTTACTGTCTGTGGACTGTATCAACTGTAAGCTCCTATCTAATAGCAGAGGGACTTCTGGCCTATTTAAATAAAGCTAAGGGGTATATTTCAGTAAATACTAACGCTCAGTACAGTCTCCTATATTGATAAAGCTGTATTGTGAAGTAGCCAGATATTTTTTATCGTAGAGTGCCTCTGGTGTGAGCCAGGTATCCCAATTAACAAGGTCATCATCAGAAATATCGGGTCCAGGGGCACTATAAGAGACTAAAGTGTCTGGGTCAAATAATACTATTATTTGTGTACTAGTCGGCGACACTAAGAAATTAATAGTTAACTTCTCGTAACGGTAGGCTTAAAGGGGGAATATCTAGATAGTAGAAGAATTACCTCGTGGTCTATTAAGTAAAGTATAAAGAGGAACAGACACTGAATTCGGATAGCTAGATAAATAAAGGAAGAAAGCGAATAGCTAGAAAATAAATTAAACAATAGTATATAGGGGTTTCTAGCGCCCCCAAAAGGCGTATCTTAAAAGGTAACAACTAGGAGCCGTTTTAGTTACAACCCCAAAAAGGTGTCGTAACCTAAACGGCAATTAATTGAATTATTTGACCACGATTTTTATCTTATAGCCACAGTTTTCCTAACCCAACAAAAAACGTTAAAGTAGATTTTACCGGTCGCTATACCCTAATAAAAATACTCGTCAACGCAGTAGTAAGGTTATAGTCAGAACGGAATCGCTTTCTAAGAAACCATAAGAATTAGAACAGAAGCCGATTAGGAAATAGAGTATACCCTGTTTACAAATCCTGAATTGTGCCGTGACTAGAATAAATAAGAATAGATCACAGAAGTATAGAGTATACGCTGTTCCTTAGGCCGGGGAATACACTAAATCGGTTTACGGTGACGGTAAAGAACAGATCGGGTACAATAGTTAAACTTATTTCTAGAGGGCGGTGAATTCTATTTAATCTGTGGCTAATTAGTTATTTCGCTGACCCTACCCGCCCCACTTAACAGATTGATCCCTTCTCGTTATAAAGGTTAAAACTCTATCTTATATAACCTTACTCTCTGTTCGAGGTATTTACGAACTAATTCTCTCAAACAGTCTCGTACTTTATACGATACGGATACTAGGAAGTTAGTGTCTAGTTTATTATTCAAGGTGATAGACTTACCTATAACTAGAACCTCACCGCGGTCTTTATAAGTGTTTAGCAGCTATTTTATATTTCGCCCAGAAGCCTCTTCTGATATAATTTTATTATATCGAGGCTTTCTATTGAAAACTATCGCGCAGCGATACTAGCCAAACGGCTTACTATATTCTATTATCTAGTTTAATACTACAAAAAAGGATATTTCGAGTATCTATATTATATTATCAGTGCGAGTATAGTCAAACAAGAACAGCAAACCTATATAGCTATTATCTAAGATATTATCGCTTAATAAGCTGTTCAGTAGCGGTTAGGCTGCAACAGTAATATCTGAGAAATTCAGTATCGCTAGTTAGCTCTCTAAACGTAGAGGCCGAACTTACCCAATATTTAGACCTCCTATATAAAATATACCCGGCGTATATATAACGTGTAAGTGTTATACCCGTACAGGAGCTTTTTAAGATAAGATATAATACCTACTATACCGAAATCGGTCGCAATTACCAAGATATATTCGTAATAGTCTACAGATTTACTGACTCTATACGGCCCGTTAACAAATACTGTTAAGGAAGTATAGCTATCTAGGGCTGTACGATAGTAAATAGTCTTAGTGAGTCCTCTTCGAGGTTGAACAAAAAGCTCTAGGATATCCTACTTTTCTAGCGACTAAGATATCACTATAAACGGGTATATCTAGGCCTAGGAGAATAGGCTTACCGCGGGTATCCAGAGGCTTATATATTGGCCTACCTCGATATATAGGGGCCTTATAAGTACAATCCTTACTTTCAGCGGTGTTACCTCTTTGCTCTGTATCGGCGTTTATTATACCCGATTATATCTAATAGAGGCACGAGAATAGGGACGTAGGGGGAAGACACCGTTCCTAAAGATAAAAAGGAAAAGTTCGACTAGCAATATAAGTAGTATTGTGCTAAGCGGAATATAAATATACAGCCGGGGTAGCAGAGTACCGGATAGTAGATACCGCTATACAGAATATATACAAGCTGTGGCTAGGGCTTAGTGCAGTCGAAGGAATAGCTCGTAAAGGAAACGGCGAATAAAAGGGAAAGATAACAATAAAATCGCGGCTATAATCACAGAGCCCTAAGAAGGATTAGCACTACTAATCTGACAGGGTAGGTTAAGCGAGAGCGACGACAAACAATTAATACGAAGAGGTTAGGCTTCTCGCGAAGTATCCAGCTCTTCCGATCAGTTATTATTGCTATAATAATATATAAACCAAGAAGAATACCAGTTATCCAACCCACAGCCCGATAGATACGCTTACACACTATCAAAGAAACACCTATAGCGTTTGCAAGGAATCCCAGATAGTGTGCTAAAAACAAGAAACTTATATTGATCACTGAAAGGGTTCCGGCGCGGTCTCTTACTATTATTATTAACGGAGTCTTGAAGGCAACAAGAAAAACATTTATTACAGCGTACGCGAGATATAATAAGGTATCTGCTCGAGTGCAAGGAGCAATCAGCCTATAGCGACCCCACAAGTATAGATATATTAAGTGTTTCGTAATAAGGAACAACAAAATTCTGAGTAGATTCAGAAAGGAGGGGGCTATACGAATAAGAAAGAGCATTGTCAGTAAGTACCCCACTGCAATAGCGTAAAAGATCGTGATTTCTATTGTCAGTCAGGACTTAGATATTATATATTTTTCAACTATTGCAAGGAAACCACGGTGCTTTATACTCCTAGGATAGTAATCCTCACCAGTAGGATAACTAATATTTATACCGGAAGCAACAACTCGTTCAGCGTTACTACGTTTATTTCTCAGGCACCTATATCGCTGCTTAGAACCGTTGTTATATACTCTAAGGTGTATATCTCTTATGATATAGTCTATTGCAGGGCGGCTTATCTTCCTTTCCCTGCCCCAATCTGGCGGCTCTTCCCGGTTAAGCTTCGAGCCTCTTCCTGCTTTATTTATAAAGCTCAAAATGATATTTTAGACAACTGTGGTATTTGGCTTAGCACAGCCTCTGATATACTTCTTGATATAGCAAGTAAGAGGGTGAAAGGAAAAGCAACAACTGTTTTTCACAATAATGTCTATAGGCGAAAACATACTGCAATAAGGATTGAAATACACTTATATACTCTAGTATACAGCAGCTGCGTTATAAAGTGCCTATCGTTACTCCCTAAAAACCGTCTCCTCCCTAGTTTTCTCCAAGTCACGATCTGTTATCACAGTCGGAGTCGGGTAATAAGAGCTCTGGTAAGTTAGCGCTCCACCTAGTAGATAATGCTATATAGTTTATATACCAATTGCGAAGTAAGAAAAGCCTAAAAGCCCGAAGTATCCGCCGACAAGATATACACCTGACCGGTCTCCCGTATACGAATACCTACGTATATATCTGCGCTGTATATCCTACTATATTCGTATACCTTTTTTATCAGACTTATTTTGCGACGGTATTATTTTTGCTGTATCAATTTTATTTTCGAAGTGACTTCCTTGGACCTAGTGGCCTTAATAGCGGCTATTAAGCGGATTGCCTTGATATATAGGGGTATTTAGGAGAAGAGAAACCTATATAGAAAATATAGATAGCGGGGACTCTTATAAAACTTAGGTCTACTAATAGGAAAGGGCTCAATAAATACAAATTTTATTGCACGAAGGGGAGTTATCAATCATAGAACGCAAAAAGACCACGAAAATTGGTCTTTTATATATTGAACTTATAAGGCGGCCCCCGTAAGACTAGAAGGGTATTCACCGGTGTTATTTGCGGTTATTAAATAGGTGCGGTAAGGTAAATACAACCGTTCTTTCAACGTTATTGACATATTACCCGCTATACCTTTTACGTGACTGCAATATCACTACAGTATACCTTCAGCACCAGTAACCCTTTATATTAATCGAAATATTTATCAGTGTATATACCTGATCTTAAGCAGCCGGGTAAATAAATTTATTATCGGTTAACGTAAAAAAAAGACTATTCCGGGCGGTGCCTAGATATTAGGAAATACGCGTTATTTAGGGCGGAGGGTATAGTATAGCTAACAGTATTTAATAGATATTAAACTTTTTTCACTGTATTTGCATTAATTATATATAAACGAATTAATCAGTTTATTATTCTTTTCGGCTATTCTTTACGCCCCCAGCGGAAAGTTTATATAATTATATAGCTAGGCAGAATCATAGTGTCGAGACACTAGAGAGAGGCAATAAAATATATACCCTGCGATTGAGAGACTAAAACCCGATCTACTAGTCCTGGGAGATAGCCTTGTCAATCAGTTTTAATAACACAAATTAAAATACAGATATAAGTGTAGGTAACAGAAAGAAGAGGTGATATATATTGACTGGGTAAAAAGCTGGTGTAAATATTTTTTAGAGTGAGGTATTATATTGATAAACGATACGATAAAACGGTTATTAGGAGTCGACCGAACGTGTATTGTTAACGACGATACTAGTATTACAGAATAATAAGGATAGAATAATTAATAGCGTGCTAAGAGTTGTCAACGAGCGTAAGAAGGCCAATCAATACTAGTAAAGTATAAAGGTTAATAGGTAAGAGAAGATTTATAGCCGATAAGAAACAATTGATTGTCTCAGAAATCCGACTACAAAATTGTTGAAAACAATAAATAAACCGATTAATTTATTTATCTTTTTTATCAACGCAGTAAAAGAAAGTGTTTATTAAGTATAATTAGCTAGGAAACACTCTCTACTTTAAACCAAGCGAATTTCCTAATACCTAGGCACCCCTAATATCTATTAGAAGAATCATTTTATCCTACCTACCCACAAATCTAGTGAAAACCTTAAAGAAAAGACTTGACCTAAAGGAGCCTTAAACAGCTGAATCGACCTACCTGATAAGCTATAGATAATAGAAGATAAGTGTTGTGCTTAAATAACCGAGAATAAACGTAAGCAACGAAGGATATAATATACCCTTAGAAGTTCACCAGCCTACTTATATAGCTTATATCGATCGGTACCTAGGGCTTTAGTACGCTTTAACAGCCACAGGTCAAATACCTACTCCGAAGGCCCTGTTATCGGTAGCTATTTTCTACTTTACGTATTCACTCGGACCGAAGCGGTTTAATATCTCCTTATTGATGAATTTTTATAGTGTATCTCTAAAATATATTATTTGAGAAAAGTACTATTTTTGTCTGGCTACTTTTGTATAAATAGGATTTTTATAGTGAATGATAGCGGAGTCTCTTTCGTATTTACACTAGTGATATAGAAAACCTATAAGGGAAAAACCACACCTAAAGAAACCTATCTGCTATAGTAAGAAAGATATAACTGCCTTATATCGTCCCTAATATTTTACTGTTTCTCTTATTTATACCTAGGGCAGCTAGAGACCGGACCTGATTGTACTGTTATAGACAACGGAGAAGACACCGATAAAGTTGATAAAGTCAATACCGACCCATTCGATACTGAGGAAGTCGATATCCCTACTGGGGATATTCCTACTAAGGATGTCGCCGCTGAGGATATCCCCGCTGAGGATATTCCTACTGAGGATATTGCTGCTGAGGATGTTCCTACCGAGGATGTCCCTGCTGAGGATATTCCTGCTGAGGATATCCCCGCTAAGGATATTCCTACTGAGGAAGTAGGTAACGATAAAGGTATACTAGAAGCAATACACAAGCTACCAACCTTCAATCTATTGTATAATATATATCCTACCTGATCTCCCCCTCGGTTAAGGAATTTGATATCTCTATTATCGTTTACCTATATCTATACAATAGGCTGGCCGTTTTCCGAGCTATATATATCCACTTTTAGGTTAGAGTATTCCTTACGAATACTATATATAATATTGCTTAGATCTAGCTTTAGGGTTTAGGGTTCAGGGTTCAGGGTTTAGGGGGTTTAGGGTTTAGGGTTTAGGGTTTAGGGTTTAGGGTTTAGGGTTTAGGGGGTTTAGGGTT